AAATAGTAAGGAAAGTGATTCCTGAGTTCTGTGAGCCATTCAATTAAATTATCAAACTCAAAGAGGGAGTCATGGGAACCCCCAATGTATAGCTGATTGGTTGGAAGTACTGGAGGCCACAACTTGCAACTGACATCTGACCTGAGGACAATCTTGTGGGATCTGCTGCTTTGCCCAAGTAGATAGCATCAGAATTGAATTGGATTAGGGGACATCCAGTTGGTATCAGAGAACTGGCAATGTTGTTGGCATGGAGAAAACCTCCACATCTTTGGTGGCAAAGTGTTCTGTGGGTAGAGATAGATCTTAGTAGTTCCTTTTTCCACATCGCAACTAGAGAGCCTGTTGCCCTTCTTCTTCATGGTTCTCTGTAACCTGGGGGGTTTGCCCCAGCTCTGTGGTACCTGGAGCACAGTCGCCTTCATTGTTAGCTTCTCCTAGAGCCTGGGTCATTCCCTGCCTGCCTGTCCCAGAGCCCCTCCCACTGCTCCAAAAGCACAGCCTTGATTGAATCCTTTGCCCTGACACTAGGTTCCATCGACTGCCCTTGTGCAAACCAGGAGGAGGCGCTGTTATTTCCTTGAGGCTTGGCTCCAACCTAGCCTCCAGTCTGGGGTCTACAGGTCAGCCTCCTCCTGGGTAGAACAAAGGACACATCAGTCAGCCACCACTCATAGTATCTGTGTGTATATCTGTAACCCTCACCAGACCCAGGTAATAGAATGAACAATTATAAGGACAGCATAGCACTGGTGGTGGCACTGTGCCCCAGGCTCTGTCCCAGGCACCATGCACATGTGACCTCATTTAATCTTCATGCCTTCACACACAGGAAATGGCTTGCCCAAGTTTCTAACCACTGCTCTTCAGGTGATGCATGACGTAGGACAACAGTACACACAGGCCTATTTAGAATCGATACACAAGGATACAGAGTTCAAGTTCATTTTGTAAATGGGCCAGCAGCCTCAGGGAGGTGACATTAACTGCTCCAGTGTCAATTGCATCCTCACCCTTGATGTCATTCTTGCAGTTCATTTATTCATCGATTCATTCCAGCATTTATTAAGAGATTACTAGGTGCCTGGAGTCCTTCCAAGAAGATAGAGTTCCTGAGTGAGCAAATCTCCTCCCTGGGCTCTGTGATCCACGAGAAAAGGGCTCCTCACTGTGTCCTCAGGGCCTAGTCTGGGGCCTGTGAGTGCTGAGGAATCAGGAAACGATTGCTGAAATTAATCAAAACTCTCCTGGGCCAACAGACTCACAGCAGCAGTTCCCAGGGAAACATTGATCCTTTGTGGTCATGAAGATAAAGGGAACATGGCCATGTAATCATATTCCCTTCCAAAGGCACCTGTAGCCCTGGAACCTATGTTATGACAAAAAACAAAACAAAACAAAACAAAAAACACAGCCCACAGACTGGGGAAAAAATATTTGTCAACTCTATGTCTGACAAAGGCCTAACATCAAGGATCTACAAGGAACTCAAACGTGCCAAAAAGAAAAAAACAAACAGCCCCATTACAAAGTGGGCAAAACATATGAATAGACACTTCTCAAAAGAAGACATGTGAGCAGTCAATAAGATACATGAAAAAATGCACAGCCTCACTAGTCATCAAAGAAATGCAAATTAAAACCACACTGAGATACAACTTAATGCCAGTCAGGATGGCTATCATCAATAACTCAAAAAAACAACAGATGCTGGAGAGGATGCAGTGAAAAGGGAACACTTCTACACTGTTGGTAAGAATGTAAACTAGTATAGCCTCTGTGGAAATCAGTGTGGCGATTCCTAAAAGATCTAAAATTCGACCTTCCATATGATCCTGCAATCCCCCTACTGGGAATATTTCCAAAAGAACTCAAATCACTCTATAAAAAAGATACCTGAACATGTATGTTTATCGCAGCATTGTTCACAATAGCAAGAACATGGAACCAACTGTGCTGCCCATCAAAAGAGGACTGGATTAAAAAAATGTGGTACATATACACGATGGAATATTATGCAGCCATAAAGAAGAACAAAATCATGATCTTCACAGCAACCTGGATGAACTTAGAGTCTATAATACTGAGTGATCTTTCACAGAAACAAAGGACTGAGTATCACATGTTCTCACTCATAAGCAGACCTTGAACAATTATCATAATTCTATAAAAGAATGATTGGCAGTAATGGGAAACTGCCGGGAGGCGGGTAGGGAAGTGGGAATGGCGGTAGTGGGAATATTCCTGGGGGGGGTCTGCCTCATTAACAAGGGAACCTGTAAAATGAACATTTGTGTACCTAACCCCGAATTGTACCACACATGTTTAAAATGAAATAAAAATAAAAATTAAAAAAACACTAATGACAGGCCAGAGCCCCATGGTAATTGCACCAAACACAACAGTTAGCGTTTCCTGAATTACTGCATGTGCCAGGTCTCCCAGACCCCACCTTGGTTCCCTGCACCTGTGCTGCTTCCTGGGGTGGCAACATCCTGGGGATGGCCCCAGGGTCACAGGAACCAGCATCTTACCCTTTCTGCCAGTGCTGTGACTCTGGTCACTGGTTTAGCCTGTACGAGTCAAGCCCTGTTTCTTCATCCACTAAACATAATGTGATTACTTATTTTATAGAGTCATTTTATTGGTCATATGAGGAAATAGACACACTACAGCCAGACAATGAGCCAGTGTGCCACGCTTACCAGCTACAAGAATAAGACATCAATAAAATCCAAAATTTTATTTATCCCCACTTTAAGATGAGAACATCAAAGTTCATACAGATTAAACAACTTGCCTGACATCACACAGTTAGCAGGCAGGGGATTCAAAACCAGGTCTTCCTGGCTCTAATGTGCAATCTGCCACGATTCCCCATCACCATGACCCACTGCCCACCATCAAGAGATCTATAAGGAGAAAACAGGCAGCACTCCTGCCTGCTCTCGGGGTTGTGGTGCAGTAGGGAAGCCCGAGGTAGTAGTCGAAGTCTGGAGGTAGAAGACCTGCTGGGTGGAGCATGGACTCCCTCCACCACTAACCGGTGACCCTGGCCAAGCGCTTTGATAAAGGTAAAATCTCAGTGGGTTATAGTGAGATTAAAGGAGATATTACTGACAAGAACTTAGAACCCTGCCTGGCTGAGAATTCCTGCTGATTAAATGTAAGCTGGTGGTGCAGGTGCTGTGGTGTTTCTGAAAACCTGAGCACAGACACCAATATATAGAACCTGCAGGCTATGTTCAACAGGAAAGAGAGTGAGCGTGTTGACAAATAATTGCTAATTAGCTCTTCAGCTTGGTTTTGTGAATTGGAACTTGAAAAGCTTGGAAAACTGCTTGCATTACTTATTTTTCAGTTGCTAAATTTCTGATAATTTACAGCTGAAAGCAGTTTGTCCTTGGGCTGCAACCCCTGCAGGCCCAAGATTCTGACCAGGCTCTCTGGGAATGGAACCAGTCCTGGAAGGAGAGGTCACTTCTGCAGAGCAAACCACCGTAAACCATGCACTTGGGAGAGTCCTTTCACACGGGGTCCTCTTGCAACAGCCCCACTATGTAGATGAGGAATCCCAAACCCCAAAGGCTGAGTTCATAGTCCCACAGCTGCTGTGAGGAAGAATTCAGAGACTGAATTTGAACTCAGGTTAGTGTGGCTGCAAAGCCTCTGACCCCTACCCAGGCAGCAGTTGCCTGGGTTCACTAAGGGGAAGAACAGAGAGCTGTCACCATCAGAAGTCCTACGGTCTTCTGTCTGTTTAGCCATCCACTTAGGACAATGCCTGTACTGCATCAGGCTTGGATCTTATAACCTCCCAAATGCTGGCATAGAGGTCCTTTACCCTCCTTGGCCCTTACTTGCTGTCTAAATGGATTCCTGTGCTGTTCTCCTGCAGTCTGTCCACCTCTACATTTATGACAAGCAGTGCTTGTGATGTGATTTCCCTAGTATTCCCAGAAGCAAGTCCCGCCCATTCTTCTAGGCTCATGGCAAGCAACCCCTTTCCACAGACCCTCCCCCAAGGTTCTCCAGCTCTAGGCACTCGGCACCCCCATCTGTCTCTGCATTCCACCCTCTCACAGGATCTCTCCATCCATTGTGACTCTGGATTTTGTTAAAGCTGAGGTCCTCAACCCTGGATGCACATAATACTCATCTGGGGAGCTTTGAATAAAAATACCAGTACCTGGGCTCCAATTCCGGATACTCTGTCCAACTAGTTTGGGTTCCTCTGCCCAGACAAAGGTGCATTGTTAAAGTTCCAAAGATGACTCTACTGAATAGCCAGAGTTGAGAAACACTCGTTTAAAAGACAGAGGTGTCCCTTTGTGTGACACAGTCTACTTTAAATTTTTTAAAAATTGTTTTCTAGCACTGATTAGCCACATTACTCACCCTGTTATCAGACTTACTTTCAATCTTCATTTGCCTGTTGTTAATACAGAGATAATAATTCTCACCCTGACCATTCATCACAATAGGGTGTGAAAGTGTTGCAGAGATTATAAATAACAATAGCATTTGTCAATTATTTATTAAACACATATTTTTAATATATGCTTGATTTTTTTTTTGGCAAATGCATTACTATTTTCATCATCATCAACTCTAGCCTCTCCCTGCCATGTTTGGGGCCATCAGAACACAGGCACAAGATCCTGTCACCCCCAGTGAGAGGCACACAATCACTAATCAACAAGTTTGTTCAGTGAATGGGTAATGGACAAATACATCTGTGTGTTACAAGCTTCGAGGAAGCAGAGACCTGTTAACCCGTTTAGTTTTTCCAAAATATCTAGCTTGGGGGAAAGCACGCACTTAATAGGTATTGAATGATTAGGGTAACAAGATGTAGAAATATTTCTTTAGTTTGATATCTAGAGTGAGATTACAAGTGGTGCTTTTTCATCACTGGTATCTATAGCAAGCAAGCAACCATATTTGCCTTTCCTAACTACCTCCCTTCATTCAGACCCCAGGGCCAGTTCTCTAATTACCTGTAGCTCTGAACACAGCTGAGAAAGTGTTTCTTCAACAGCAAGGGCCTCTAGAAAGAAAAAAAGAAACATAATTACATGAACTTACTTTGAAACACACCAGTTGCTAATTAAAGGAAAAAGCATAAGTTTCAAGTTGACATTAATGTCCCAGAGACAAACACAGCTGTTGAGTGCTCTCTATCGATTCTTACTTCCTAAAGGGGTCATGCTTATAAAAAGAATCAACCTGATTTGAAGCCATGGCTGAGCCCCAGATTAAGGCCAATATCATCTTATGGATACTTTTATGAGAAATAAAAGCACTCTGTGTGGCCCAGAGGGATTCCAAATTTATTTCTATTTTTGCAGGTGCACACACATACACACACATATATTTATGCATCTCCATCTTACAGATAAAAAATAAGAAGGAGCAGGGCTTGGTGGCTCAGCCTGTAATCCCAGCACTTTGGGAGGCTGAGGTGAGTGGATTGTCTGAGCCCGCGGGTTCGAGACCCACCTGGGCAACTTGGCGAGACCTCATCTCTACAATAAATAAAAAAATTAGCCAGGCGTGGTAGCGTGTGCCTGTAGTTCCAGCTACTTGGAAGGCTGAGGTAGAAGGATCGCTGGAGCCCAGCAGGTCAAGGCTGCGGGGGCCGGCAGTGGCCACTGCACTCCAATCTGGGTGACAGAGTGAGACTCCAACTCAAAAAAAAAGAAAAAAGAAAAATAAGAAGGCCAGATAAGTGGAGAGGGAGGGCCATGGCTCTGACTCTAAGGAACATGATTACTTTCCATACTGCCACTGTTCAGCAGAAACCAGGCAGCTTCTCACTATTTGTGATTTAATGGTCACAGTGTGTCTGTGTTTGAGCTCTCCCCTAGTTCCATGATGTTGTGGTCAGTCATTTGCACGTGGCAGTGACATGGATTTTAATTAAAGTGTGGTTGCCTAGGTGAGTGGAAACAATCCCTTAGCAACTCAGGTCTTCGTTGATGCCCTTATTAGCAAACACCTCTTCACCTGACTGCTGTCCTCAGGAATATGAATCTCATAAGGCATAATGAACTTTTGTTACCTTGATCACAGCTGTGTGTCCTCAGTGTCTAGTACAATGCATGACACATAGTGGTCAATAAAATATGAGTGAATGAACAAATACATTCAGTACTGTGGGATTAAAAAAAGTTTTATCAGGAATGCAACTGCTAAGAAACAATTTCCATTTTCCCAAGTCTCGTCAAGAAGCAAAACATGCACACACACAAAAAAAATCACTACTATTGATGATTTCAGTGCAATAGTGGACATTGTGCAAGGCTATAGATGATACCACGATTACCTCATTTTTTGAACTATTTACACTGGCTCCGATTCTGTGCATGTCTTTATTATATGCATACAATCTGAACTGAAGAAAAATAAAATGTTGATTGTATGATTCAAAGAGCAGTGCCCGAGCCCAGGATTTGGCTAGGGGATTAGAACTGACAAAGTTTACGGTGAGATGGCTGCAGAATTCAACAACCATAACCTGCACCTACTTCTTTACATACCAGGAAGGGTGCATACAGCATCTGAAGGGGCCCTGCTCGCAAAGACCCCGAGTCTAGTCAAGAAGAAAACATGCAAGTAAATCACTGTTATGTGATACACATATAAGGCTGTAGATGCTGCCACGATTATCTCAGCAGCTGAGGTCTAGCTCTATAGGTGGGCAAGTCAAGGTACCTAGTAGGATTCTGATATTGAAATACATGTTAACCTTGAAGACCATCTAGACTGAGGTCTCTATTCTAGAGGCAAAGGGGCCTCTGTAGACAACTTAGAGCAGAACTGTAACAAATCACCTGTTGTAACTGTGTGACATCGTATAAAAGATCCTGTCCTAGGGGTCCAGCACAGGATCCCCAAGCTTCTATCAAGGTTCTGCCACACATGGCTGTGTGACTATAAAAAGGTTTTTTGCCTCCCTGAACTTCATTTCCATCATCTGTCGATCAAAAGAGATCCAGGCCCAGTGATCTCCACGATGTTCAACCTTTGGAAAATTCATGTGCAAAATTCAGTTGGTCCCCAGATAACCAAATATGATGGATACTAAGAGGTTTCTATAACCATTCATTGTTTTACACTATGGTTGTACTTTCATAATTACAGCCTAATTAAGAAAAGGCTATAAACTGGCACTTTCCCCTGGAAAGCAACTGAACATTATGTCCCAGGAGTGGCAAGTGTATAATAGGTAGTCAATAAATGTTTGGTGGATAAACGCACGAGTGAAGGACTGTGCCTTGAGGATCACAGGCCTTCTCTTATTGCATTTTGCACTTCTAAGATCCTCTCCTGCTACCACAATGTAAAGCACAGGCTAAAGCTACCTGAGCAACAGGGTTGTTCCTGTGACATTTACAAAACCATGCCAACTTTTCTCCAGGCCTAGTCCCAAGGAAGAGTGTCAGCTGCTGGGATGAGTCTTCCCCCTGTCGCCAACCCCTTACCCAGCTCTGTGTGGGGCAGCTCTGGGATGTCCCGCATGATCAACAGGAAGTAGAGGCGGAGTCCCTGGTAGGCGTGAAGGAGCAGCAGGCACAGGTCTCGGTGCCACTTGTGTGCGTGCTGCATGCAGTTCTCTGAGGGGACGTAGAAGCTTCCCTGCAGGTGAAACACAAAACAAGAGCTGAGGAACGGCACCCCGGCCCAGGCACCACAGGGCTCTGACCCTCCACCCACCTGCTCCAACATTCACAAAATGTTTGGAAGTTCAGAGAAGGAAGTCGGCCAAGTCCTGAGAAAAACTGAGAAGTGGTTGAAGATTCCAGGAAGAAAGAGATCTGCATTTGAGTCTCTTCTTTATCCCTCCATGTGGGTAGAGCATTAACATCTGCCATACTTTTGTCTTATCATGTTCAAATTAAAACAATAAAATAACAGCAATAATAATAACAATGGTAATGAATGATGATGATGATAATGATAATAATGAAGATGACACTGACCTCACAGGTTTGTGACAACTGAGTGCCCTTACTGACAAGCTTTCAAACCTCCCCGCCCCCACTGCGGGGTGCGCCCTAAAGGGAGGTCAGGGAACAAATGGCAAGTGGCGGTAAGGCTCCTTTTCACTTTCCACAGGGAGGTGAGGAACTAAAAAAAGACCCTTGTGGCAGGTGGGTGAGCAGTAGATAGTGCTGAAATGGGGGAAAAAATGTGTTGTGAAATAGGAAGAAGTTGTGAAGTTAGGTAATCAAGTTGACAGTGTGCCTTGTAAGAGGCTCTGAATGTGAGCAGGCAGTGTTGGAACACTCTACACATTATATTTTATTTGTAAATGTAGAATGGATTAAACTGGCAGAATTACAAAGTAGTTGTTCAACAAAGAAAAGACATCTAAGTCCACAATTGACTCAGAGACCCAGGAATGATGAAACAGGACAGTTTTGAGTTGCCAACTCAAGAAAGAAGGATATCCTGGGGTGAATTTCAGGAGGAATTTGACCTGAGAGCAGAGAAAGGAATTCCACGAGGAAGGGTCTGGGCACAGAAAGTGGGAGTTCCTGAGTAGCATGCTAGAAAACTCCGTGATCTTAGGACCTGCTTGTCCATCTACTGCTCACATGACTGTGATGAAAAAAAGCAATGGCTCATCATGTCCCCATGCTGCCTTGCCTGGCTTGCTGGAAGAAACCCCAGGTGGGGAGTCAATGGAATTTTACTCTCTTGGCTTCTGTGAATTGGTCAGCATAGCCAACGACTGGGGCAGCCCTGTCTTACTTATTCTTTTTTCTCCTTGCTGCCATCTAGGAAGACTGAGCTGGTCTGGTGGGGACAGGACAAGTATGATGAGGGTCTATATACATCTTCATGACATCTGGGCTCCCAATGTTGTCGTGTAGGTGTAATTATACCCACTCTAACCACCAGTTCCTAGTGATTTGGTCATGTGTAATGCAAGGGGTTAAAACTGTGGGAAACTTGGATGGAAAACTCAAGTGCAGTCACCTAGCTCTGAGACTATTATCTTGGGGGAGCTCCCTAGAAAGAGACTGAGAAGATCCTGAGGTGTGCTCTCAGTTGCAACATCTGTGGGCTTGTAAGACGGGACAGATGTTCCAGTTGCATTGCAATATCATGCAGGCACAACAGAGACTCAGCTGATGACATGGGGAGCTCTAGGCCTGAAGAACTGCCTGGCCTCAGGAAAAGGGCTGGGTCTTTGTATTCATGCATTGACAGTCATGGGTGTGGTTTATTTAAAGTGGAAGTATAACCTTGGGTGAGTAGCTTTCTCCGGAGAAAGCAATCCCCAGACTCATTGGGTTGCTGTTGGCCGCCAACATCCCCAGCAGGATAAACAGTGAGTGGCTCAGGCTGAAAGGTGGTCTGGCCATCACACCACATAGTCCATGAGAGAGACCCTCTGCAGTAACTATACCCCCAGCCCCCAGGGCCTCACTCTTCTTGGCTCTGAAACCTAGCCTTGGATTACAAGGTTGCAGGACACTTCTGACTTGAATTTAAGACATTCAACAAGGTTAGGAACCAAAAGACTTGTGTCTTTGATAACTGGAAAATCCAGTCCACTATACCATCTGTATTAACTCGGCACTCAGGGTAATCCATATATTTTTATTTGTCATCTTTCCTATTTTATTATTATATACAGGAAAGCCAGTAAATTTGTAGAAAGACTGGCAGAACTTGTGCACAGCAAAGAGTGTATCAGACCACCTAGGTCTGTAGAGAAGGAAGGAAACCACTGCATATGAAGCCTCTAGATAGTTCCATGACCCTTTTTAGTTCCTTTGCTCTCTAGCAAGCACCATAAAAGGCAGATTATCTTCAAAACAGAATGTAGATAGGTTTTTTAAAAAACCTTCAATATCACCAAAGTAAACAAAACATAAAGTGTCCCATTCTTCAGAAACCAATAAATTTTCAGAGATCCTTCTGGAATACCTGTACATATGCCCACATGTAGATATGTATGTACACTTATTGCATGTATGTTCTGAAACACACACAGACATACAAGTTGAAGAAGGCTCTGGACATTTCTGTTTCTTGCTTTTATCACTTAACATGTCTTGGAGTTCCTTCTGATCAGATCAAACAATAAGCAATAGGAACTCTTATTTCCATTTTGTAGATCAAAAGACTGTGGCTTAAAGAACTGAATGACTTGTGTGAGGTCACTGTGCTTGCCAGCAGTAGAAATAATTCTCAGAAGTCAAGGTTGAGACGAGGTCATTCTCAGAACGCCATACCTGCCTCTGAAACCTTGCCTGGTAGACAGCAGGTGCTCCACAAAGTCCGCCTGCTCTGACGGAGGCATTAATTTAAGTCCTGCAGTATCTCCATTAGCTGTGACTAAGCAGAAAGGAAAGCAGAAAAGGAATTAACAAAGGCACAAACCCAGTAGTCACGGGTCTCCAGTTGGCTTCAAGCAGCTCTGAGAATCCTGTTTTCTGGCCCTGCTCCCTGCCCACAGCTCCATTTCCTTATCACTGCTGCCTCGTTTTGAAAGTGCTTCAGGATTCATTGAAGAAGGCAAGGGATCTACAAAGTCTGTTATTAAGTCTGACTGTCAAAACGTGGCTCCAATATCATATGGACTTTCCGAGAGAGACATAAAGAAAGCTTTGGGGAAACTTCATAAGACTGATTCACTATGGCTATTGAGATAATAACAAGCAAATATGCTAATCTAAAGAGAAATCCCGAAATATTCACATATGGCTGGAGATTATTATAGCCAAAACAAAACAACCTCCAGTCCCCATAAATTACTCAACAGCGCAACTTTTTGAAAGTGAGTGGTATGCTGCAGAAAATCTCATTAGGCAGCCCTGCAGGCCTGCAGAGCCCACGTCAGAATGGAAAGGCCAAAGTGCCTCCACTAGATTACATGAAGTGGGTTGAAAAGCCTTGCACAGACTCCCTAGCACAAAACACGAACACATTAACAACACTCTTTTTGGCATTCTGGGATGAAAATCCTAAATAACAAAACAAGAATCAAGCAAGCAGGCACACCATGAAGCTGCAGTGTGAACTCACAAATAGGCTTCTGGCCAGGGTCAGCTCCATGACAGGTACACGATAAGAGATGGGTGTCTCTCCCTTTTTGAAATTGAAGTAAGTCTGGTGTAAGTGGGAACATTTTGCATCATTACATAAGGAGTTTGGAGCATGGGCCACAAGGCTTAAGAGTCTTCGTTTTAAGACACACTGGAGTTCCCACTTCCTACCCACTTCCTACCAATGTCAGCTTGGACAGAGCTCCTCCTCTCCCTGCACTGCTAGTACATTATCTATCAAGAGGGGTTAGTCCTGAAATTGACATCATTGGGTTGCTATTAAAGATTAAATAAGACCATTCAGCCAAAATACTGGCCTAAGTAAGTCCCAGTGTAAAGTCAGGGCACACTAAAAGGAACGTTTGTACTTGGGACATATTTATTGATAGCCTCCATGAACGTGTCTGTGGATTGCACACTTAAAGTCCATCGAGAGCTCTGCAGGGACATGGTGCAATCTGAACACAGAATCTGGTGTCAACTTGCTCATGGACAGGTCCCTCACTAACAGGGTGCCTGAGCTAGTCCTTTAGCATTGTAAGTGCTAGTTTCCTAACATGGAAATTGGGATTAAGATACCATTGAAATGCTTAGAACAATGTCTGGTTTGTAGCTAAGTACTTAATAAATGTTAGTTAAGAAGTTTCATAGCTAGGCACGGTGACTCACACCTGTAACCCCAGCACTTTGGGAGGTAGAGGCTAAAGGATTACCTAAGTCCACGGTTTCAAGACCAGCTTGGGCAACATGGAGAGACCTCATCACCACATTAAATCACAAAATTAACTGGATGTGGTGGTGCACACCTGTAGGATTGCCTGAGCCCAGCAGGCTGAGGCTGCGGTGGCTGTCTAGGCTACAGAGTGAGATCTGACTCAGAAAAAAAAAAGAAATTCTACATTCTACCTCATTTATTATCTAACGAAGTATATAAAAATCATACCAGTTAAGCTTACTATCAACCTTTATATAAATACCTCTCAAGTTGACATCTCTAAATCTAATTTCTGCTCTGGGCTCCAGATCTCTATGTTCCAAACTTTTGATCAGATAGCTTGCTTACTTGTCACAAAACCGTTTTATTATTGCTCCCCCCCCCCACTGAATCCATCTCTTCCTTATGGTCTTCCTTAACACACACCCACTTTCCCCAATACCCAAAATTGCCATAGAGTTCATCTAGATTTCAGACTTCTTTCTCACCTCAATAATCTGTAATAAAGTCTTGATGGTTCTACTTCTAAAATGCTCTTATTTCTGCTCCACTTTGAGTTATCTATATTGCTTATTTGATTTATTAAAAGCATTTATCTAATGAATCTCACTGCTCTGGTCTTTCCATCTGCAGCACCAGTCTGTGCAAGCTGGCTTATATCATTATCCACTCTTTATAAAACCGATTTTATAAATTCAAGTCCCTTGTGTGGCATTCAAGGCCTTTACACCTGAAGTTCGACCACATTTCCAGACTCATCTTCTGTCTCTCTTGTTTCCCTCAGGGCTTTAGTTGCACTTCTTCTCTCGGGGGCTTGTCCTATTTCTTTCTGAAATGTTCTTTTCCTAACCCTTCTAAAT